AACACAGGAGAACACAGGAGAACGTGAGGAGAACACACCAGAACACAGGAGAACACAGGAGAACGTGAGGAGAACACACCAGAACACAGGAGAACGTGAGGAGAACACACCACACACAGAACGTGAGAGAAACACAGAACACAGGAGAACACAGGAGAACGTGAGAACACACCAGAACACAGGAGAACGTGAGGAGAACACACCAGAACACAACAGAACACAGGAGAACACAGGAGAACGTGAGGAGAACACACCAGAACACAGGAGAACACACCAGAACACAGGAGAACATGAGGAGAACACATCAGAACACACAAGAACGTGAGGAGAACACAGGAGAACATGAGGAGAACAAACACAAGAAAACACAGGAGAACACAGGAGAACATGAGGAGAACGTGAGGAGAACACACTAAAACACAGGAGAACATGAGAAGAACACACCAGAACATAGGAGAACGTGAGGAGAACACAGGATAACACAGGAGAATGTGAGAAGAACGTGAGGAGAAGAAAGTTAAGGAGAACGTGCAGGAGAACGTGCAGGAGAACGTGCAGGAGAACGTGAAGGAGAACGTGGTCTGACCTGGGGTCCATCCCCTGCATGAGGATCTGGTCCTGTTTGCTCTCGGCCATGTCCGACGTGAACATGGCGTGAAAATACGGAATCGACGCCGCCAAAACGATTCTGTGAGCGCTGAACTTATGCTCCCCCACCTGAAGAAGAAGAGGAGATGAAAGAAGAGAGGAGGAGGAGATGAAGAGGAGGAGGAGAGGAGATGAGGAGAGAGGAGGAGAGGAGATGAAGAGGAGATGAAAGAGGAGAGAGAGGAGAGAAGAGGAGGAGAGAGAGAAGAGGAGAAGATGAAGAGGAGGAGGAGATGAAGAGAGAGAGAAGAGAGAGAAGAGAGAAGATGAGAGAGGAGAAGAGGAGGAGGAGATGAGGAGAGGAGGAGGAGAAGATGAGAGGAGAGGAGAGAGAGGAGAGGAGATGAGAAGAGGAGAAGATGAGATGAAGAGGAGGAGAGAGATGAAGAGGAGGAGAAGATGAAGAGAAGAGGAGAGAGATGAAGAGGAAGAGAGAGAGAGGAGGAGAGGAGATGAGGAGGAGAGAGATGAGAGGAGATGAGAGGAGATGAGAGAAGAGGAGGAGATGAGAGGAGAGGAGATGAGAGAGAGGAGGAGGAGATGAAGAGGAGGAGAGAGATGAAGAGAGAGGAGGAGATGAAGGAGGAGAGAGATGAAGAGGAGAGGAGGAGATGAAGAGGAGGAGGAGAAGAGGAGAGGAGATGAGGAGAGAGAGAGAGAGAGGAGATGAAGAGGAGGAGAGGAGAGAGGAGAGAGAGGAGGAGATGAGGAGATGAGAGAGAGGAGGAGGAGATGAGAGAAGAGGAGAGGAGATGAAGAGGAGGAGAGATGAAGAGAGGAGAGAGGAGAGAAGAGGAGGAGAGAGATGAAGAGGAGGAGGAGATGAGGAGAGGAGAGGAGAGGAGATGAGAGAGAAGATGAAGAGGATGAGAGGAGATGAGAGAGAGAGGAGATGAGGAGGAAGATGAGGAGAAGAGAGAGAGTGAGAGGAGGAAGATGAGGAGAGAGGAGGAGATGAAGAGGAGAGAGATGAGGGAGGAGAGGAGAGGAGAGATGGAGGAGGAGATGAAGAGGAGGAGGAGATGAAGAGGAGGAGAGAGGAGGAGGAGATGAGAGAGAGGAGGAGATGAGAGGAGGAGAAGATGAAGAGGAGGAGGAGATGAGAGAGAGGAGAGAGATGAAGAGGAGAGAAGAGGAGAAGATGAGAGAGGAGATGAGAGAGGAGGAGGAGAGGAGGAGAGATGAAGAGGAGAGAGGAGATGGAGGAGAGAGAGAGGAGATGAGAGGAGAGGGAGGAGAGGAGATGAAGGAGGAGAGAGATGAAGAGAGGAGGAGGAGATGAGGAGAGAGAGGAGGAGGAGAGGAGGAGATGAAGAGGAGGAGGAGAGAGGAGGAGAGGAGAGGAGGAGATGAAGATGAGAGGAGGAGGAGGAGATGAAGAGGAGGAGAGGAGATGAAGAGGAGGAGGAGAAGATGAAGAGGAGGAGGAGATGAAGAGGAGGAGAGATTATAATTTATTTTGAGATTTATAATTTCAGTGAAAATCTGACAAAGTTTATTCTGATATTTAAGTTTATTTTCTTTAATAAAATAAAAACTCCTAAATCAATTTGTTCATTTTCCCGTCGCCAGAGCAACAACACACAACAACACACAACACACACACAACACACAACAACAACAACAACACACACACAACAACACAAACACACAACACAACACAACACACACACACACACACACACACACACAACACACAACACACACACACACACACACACACACACACACACAACACAACACACACACACACACACACACACAACACACAACACACACACACACACACAACAACACACACACACACACACACACACAACAACACACAACACACACACACACACACACACACACACAACACACACACAACACACAACACACAACACACACACAACACACACAACACACAACACAACACACACAACAACAACACACAACACACACACAACACACACACACAACACACAACACACAACACACACACAACACAACACAACACAACACACACACACAACAACACACAACAACAACACACAACACACACACACAACAACAACAACAACACAACACAACACAACACACACACAACAACACACAACAACACAACACAACACACACACACACACACACACAACAACACACAACACAACACAACAACACACACACAACACAACACACAACAACACACAACAACACACACAACACACAACACACAACACACAACACAACACACAACACAACACACAACACACACACACACACAACAACACACAACAACAACACAACAACACACACACACACACACAACAACACACAACAACACAACACACAACACACACAACACACACAACACACAACAACACACACACACACACACAACACAACACACAACACACACACACACACACAACAACACACAACACACACAACAACACAACACACAACACACAACACACACAACAACAACACACACACAACACACAACACACACACACACACACACACACAACAACAACACACACACACAACACACACACAACACACACACAACAACACACAACACACAACACAACACACACACAACACACAACAACAACACAACACACAACACACAACACACAACACACAACAACAACACAACACAACACACAACACAACAACACACAACAACACACAACACAACAACAACAACAACACAACAACAACAACACAACAACAACAACAACACAAAACAACAAACAACAACAAAACACACAACAACAACACAAAACACACAAACAACAAACAACAAACAAACACAACAACAACAACAACAACACAACAACAACAACAACAACAAAAACAACAACAACAACAACCAACAACCAGACCGGGACCAAACCAGGACTAAACCAGGACTAAACAACCAGGACCAAGACCAGGACTAAAACCAGGACCAGGACAGGACTAAACCAGGACTAAACCAAACCACCAGACCAGGACTAAGGACCAGGACCAGGACTAAACCACCAGACCAGGACTAAACCAAGACCAGGACTAAACCAGGACCAGGACTAAACCAGGACCAGGACTAAACCAGGACCAGGACTAAACCAGGACTAAACCAGGACCAGGACTAAACCAGGACTAAACCAGGACCAGGTCTAAACCAGGACCAGGACTAAACCAAGACCAGGACTAAACCAAGACCAGGACTAAACCAGGACCAGGACTAAGACCAGGACTAACCAGGAGTAAACCAGGACCAGGTCTAAACCAAGACCAGGACTAAACCAGGACCAGGACTAAACCAGGACCAGGTGGGCAGGTGCACGCGCAGGTGCACGCGGGGTCAGAGGTCACCTGTTGTTTCGGTCCGGGCTAACTCCGTTAGCATTAGCATTAGCATTAGCATTAGCCTTGGCTCGGTCCCGGGGCCGGTGCGCGCACGCGGCCAGGTGTCTCACCTTGAGCGTGACGTCACACAGTTTGCCCTGACGTCGGATCTCCTCCATGACGCCGTAGCCGCGCGCGGGCAGCTCGTGCGCCGAAAAATGCACCAAATCCTCGAGCTCCGACTCCTCCAGCGCGTCTCCCATCACTTCCGCCGTGTGTGCGAGCACTTCCGGCGCAGCTTCACAGTAAAACACCAGGAAAACCCGAGAAACACGAGCTTTCACAATAAAAGACCCGAAAGAACTAAACCAGGACTAAACCAGGACTAAACCAGGACTAAACCAAGTCTAAACCAGGACTAAACCAGGACTAAACCAGGTCTAAACCAGGACTAAACCAGGTCTAAACCAGGTCTAAACCAGGTCTAAAAACCAGGTCTAAACCAGGACTAAACCAGGACTAAACCAGGTCTAAACCAGGTCTAAACCAGACTAAACCAGTCTAAACCAGTCTAAACCAGGACTAAACCAGGTCTAAACCAGTCTAAACCAGGTCTAAACCAGGACTAAACCAGGTCTAAAACCAGGACTAAACCAGGACTAAACCAGGTCTAAACCAGTCTAAACCAGGTCTAAACCAGGACTAAACCAGGACTAAACCAGGAAAACCAAGTCTAAACCAGGTCTAAACCAGACTAAACCAAGTCTAAACCAGGTCTAAACCAGGTCTAAACCAGGACTAAACCAGGACTAAACCAGGACTAAACCAGACTAAACCAGACTAAACCAAGTCTAAACCAGGTCTAAACCAGGACTAAACCAGGTCTAAACCAGTCTAAACCAGGACTAAACCAGTCTAAACCAGGTCTAAACCAGGACTAAACCAGACTAAACCAGTCTAAACCAGGACTAAAAACCAGGACTAAACAGGACTAAACCAAAGTCTAAACCAGGTCTAAAAAAACTAAACAGGTCTAAACCAGTCTAACCAGTCTAAACCAGAACTAAACCAGGACTAAACCAGAACTAAACCAAGTCTAAACCAGGTCTAAACCAGAACTAAACCAGTCTAAACCAGTCTAAACCAGGACTAAACCAGTCTAAACCAGGTCTAAACCAGAACTAAACCAGTCTAAACCAGAACTAAACCAGTCTAAACCAGGACTAAACCAGGACTAAACCAGGACTAAACCAAGTCTAAACCAGGTCTAAACCAGAACTAAACCAGGTCTAAACCAGAACTAAACCAAGTCTAAACCAGGTCTAAACCAGAACTAAACCAGGACTAAACCAGAACTAAACCAAGTCTAAACCAGGTCTAAACCAGGAACTAAACCAAGTCTAAACCAGGTCTAAACCAGGTCTAAACCAGGACTAAACCAGGTCTAAACCAGGACTAAACCAGGACTAAACAGGACTAAACCAAGTCTAAACCAGGTCTAAACCAGGTCTAAACCAGGTCTAAACCAGGTCTAAACCAGAACTAAACCAGGACTAAACCAGAACTAAAACCAAGTCTAAACCAGTCTAAACCAGAACTAAACCAGGTCTAAACCAGGTCTAAACCAGGACTAAACCAGACTAAACCAGTCTAAACCAGGTCTAAACCAGAACTAAACCAGGTCTAAACCAGAACTAAACCAGGTCTAAACCAGAACTAAACCAGGACTAAACCAGGACTAAACAGACTAAAACAGGACTCGATTTGATTGTGAAAACGTGAAACTTTATTCTTTAACATCAGCGCAAACGTGAAACTCAGAAGAACCAATCACAGCACAGCCTGGTCTCCACGGCGACCGCAGCAGAGGCTCATGGGAAACGCGGTCCTGCTCATTTCTGTTTGTGCAGTTTGGGGGCAGCAGGGGGCGCCGGCGATCCAGGCTCAGGAGGAACTCTGCACCTGAAGAACAGAACCACAAACCCGGTCACCACGAGGAAGAAGAAGAAGAAGAAGAGGAGGTGAGGGAGAGACTCACTGCTGCTCCGGGGTCTCCTGGGTCCCTGTGGTCCCCGAGTCCTGATCCTGACCCTTGTCCAGATCCTGGTCCTGACCCTGATCCAGTCCCTGATCCAGACCCTGGTCCAGACCCTGGTCCAGACCCTGGTAGCGGTTCTCTTCTCCCTGCAGGAGCTGGTGGTAGAGCTGCAGCTCCTGCTCCAGTCGGTTCTTGTTGGTGAGGAGCGTCTCCAGGTCTCTGCGCTGGGACTCGGCCTCGGTCTGGACCTGGTTCAGTTCTGAGTCCAGACCAGAGACCAACGAGCCCAGACTCTGCAGCTCCACCTGCTGCCAGCGCCGAGTATCAGCCAGAGACGCCAGACCAGCTCAGCAGAGCCAGCAGAACCTCCTCTAGAACCTCCATCAGCAGAACCTCCTCTAGAACCTCCTCTAGACGACTCAGAACCTCCTCAGAACCTCCTCTAGAACCTCCTCTAGAACCTCCTCTAGAACCTCCTCTAGAACCTCCTCTAGAACCACCTCTAGAACCTCTCTAGAACCTCCTCTAGAACCTCCTCTAGAACCACCTCTAGAACCACCTCTAGAACCTCCTCTAGACCGACTCAGAACCTCCTCTAGAACCTCCTCTAGAACCTCCTCTAGAACCTCCTCTAGAACCTCCTCTAGAACCACCTCTAGATCCGACTCAGAACCTCCTCTAGAACCTCCTCTAGACCGACTCAGAACCTCCTCTAGAACCACTCTAGAACCTCCTCTAGATCGACTCAGAACCTCCTCTAGAACCTCCTCTAGACCGACTCAGAACCTCCTCTAGACCGACTCAGAACCTCCTCTAGAACCTCCTCTAGACCGGTTCAGAGATCCTCACCAGGACTCGCAGGGACTCGGTCTGGACCTGGAGACTCTGGACTTTAGACGCAGCTTCTTGAACTTCCGTCTTCAGCTCCTCGACCTGTTCTGGATCTGAGACCTGCAAGAGACCAAAACCAGGACTAGACCAGGACTAGACCAGGACTAGACCAGGACTAGACCAGGACTAGACCAGGACTACTCAGGACTAGATCAGGACTAGACAGACCAGACTAGACAGGACTAGACCAGACTAGATCAGGACTAGACCAGGACTAGACCAGGACTAGACCAGGACTAGACCAGGACTAGACCAGGACTAGACCAGGACTAGACCAGGACTAGACCAGGAGTAGATCAGGACTAGACCAGGACTATACCAGAACTAGATCAGGACTAGACCAGGAGTAGATCAGGACTAGACCAGGACTAGACCAGGACTAGACCAGGACTAGATCAGGACTAGACCAGGACTAGACCAGGAGTAGATCAGGACTAGACCAGGACTAGACCAGGACTAGATCAGGACTAGACCAGGACTAGATCAGGACTAGACCAGGACTAGACCAGGACTAGACCAGGACTAGACCAGGACTAGACCAGGACTAGACCAGGACTAGAGCAGGTCTGACCTTGACGTCGGCGTCGCTCTGGACTCTCTCCTCACAGACTCGTTCCCAGTGGGCTCGGATGTGGTCTAAGACCTGGTCCAGTCCGGTGTGGGCCGGTCCGGTCCGGGTGCAGGCGGGCAGGTGCAGGTCGTGGGTGTAGAGGCGGCGCACGTCCTGCAGGGGGACACAGAGGACAACAACACTCAGTCCAAACTCACTCCGTTTGGACATTTATCATTAAAACCAAAAGTCACGGTTTGTGGGTCTGTAACCCCGCCCCCTGCTCGTGGCCCCGCCCTCACCTGCTCCTGCTCGTGGCCCCACCCCCGCTCGTGGCCCCACCCCCCCGCTCTCGGCCCCGCCCTCACCTGCTCGTGGCCCCGCCCTCACCTGCTCGTGGCCCCGCCCTCACCTGCTTGCGGCCCCGCCCTCACCTTCTCTCGGCCCCGCCCTCACCTGCTTGCGGCCCCGCCCTCACCTGCTCGTGGCCCCGCCCTCACCCGCTCGCGGCCCCGCCCTCACCTGCTCGTGGCTGAGCTGCAGCGTCTGTAGCTCCGCCCTCAGGTCGTCGGTGCGACGCTGCAGGTCGTCCCGAGTCTGAGACGCCTCCTCAGACACTTTGAGCAACGCACTGATCTCCTCCTCCAAGTCCTGACGCCACGGACGCTCTGAGTCGAACCTGCAACCAGAGAAGAAGAAGAAGAAGAAGAAGAGGAAGAAGAAGAGGAAAAAGATGAAGAAGAAGAGAAGGAAGAAGAGGAAGAAGAGGAAGAAGAAGAGGAAGAAGATGAAGAGGAAGAAGAGGAAGAAGAAGAGGAAGAAGAGGAAGAAGAAGAAGAAGAAGAAGAGGAAGAAGATGAAGAAGAGGAGGATGAAGAAGATGAAGAAGAGGAGGAGGAAGAAGAGGAAGAAGAAGAGGAGGAAGAGGAGGAGGAGGAGGAGAACCTGTCTCTGAAGTCGTCGGCTTTGTTCTGGATGTTTTCCGTCTCCAACATGAGTCTCGCGTTGGACAAGATCTCCTCACTCACCTGCACAAACACATGTCCCTGTCAAACCCTGTGTGACAGGTGCACTCCCCCTGTGTGACAGGTGCACTCCCCCTGTGTGACAGGTGCACTCCCCCTGTGTGACAGGTGCACTCCCCCTGTGTGACAGGTGCACTCCCCCTGTGTGACAGGTGCACTCCCCTGTGTGACAGGTGCACTCCCCCTGTGTGACAGGTGCCCTCCCCCTGTGTGACAGGTGCCCTCCCCCGTGTGACAGGTGCGGTCCTGTGTGTGACAGGTGCACTCCCCCTGTGTGTCAGGTGCCCTGTCGTGTGTGTGACAGGTGCCCTCCCCCTGTGTGACAGGTGCCCTGTGTGTGACAGGTGCCCTGTCGTGTGTGTGACAGGTGCCTCCCCCTGTGTGACAGGTGCCTCTCTGTGTGTGACAGGTGTCCCCCTGTGTGACAGGTGCGGTCCCGTGTGTCAGGTGCCCCCGTGTGTGTCGTGTGTGTGACAGGTGCCCTGTGTGACAGGTGCTCCCCTGTGTGACTGTGTGACAGGTGCCCCTCTGTGTGACAGGTGCCGTGTGCAGGTCTCTCGTGTGTGTGACAGGTGCCTCAGGTGTCCTGTGTGTGACAGGGGTCCCCCTGTGTGTGACAGGTGCTCTCTCGTGTGTGTGACAGGTACGGTCCCGTGTGACAGGTGCCCTCTCGTGTGTGTGACAGGTACGGTCCCGTGTGACAGGTGCCCTCTCGTGTGTGTGACAGGTGCGGTCCCGTGTGTCAGGTGCCCTCTCGTGTGTGTGACAGGTGCGGTCCTGTGTGACAGGTGCCCTCTCGTGTGTGTGACAGGTGCGGTCCCGTGTGTCAGGTGCCCTGTCGTGTGTGTGACAGGTGCGGTCCTGACCTGTCGGTACACGTTCTCCCAGTTTGCTCTCAGAGGTTCCCAGGAGGAGGCGCTGTGGCTCCTCTGCTGGAGCTCGGCGCGGATCTGCTGCTCCAACTCCGAGTTCAGACGCTCCAGAGCCTGAACCTTGTCCCTGTAGTCGACCAGAGACCAACCGAGTCCCGACCTGAGACCTGAGACCAGACCAGAGACCTGACTGAGACCAGAGACCAACCGAGTCCGGACCTGAGACCTGAGACCAGACCAGAGACCAGACTGAGACCAGAGACCAACCGAGTCCGGACCTGAGACCTGAGACCAGACCAGAGACCAGACTGAGACCAGAGACCAACCGAGTCCGGACCTGAGACCTGAGACCAGACCAGAGACCAGACTGAGACCAGAGACCAACCGAGTCCGGACCTGAGACCTGAGACCAGACCAGAGACCAACCGAGTCCGGACCTGAGACCTGAGACCAGACCAGAGACCAGACTGAGACCAGAGTTGGACCTGAGTTAGACCTGAGTCAGACCTGAGTTAGACCTGAGTCTGACCTGAGTTAGACCTGAGTTGGACCTGAGTCTGACCTGAGTTAGACCTGAGTCTGACCTGAGTCGGACCTGAGTCTGACCTGAGTTAGACCTGAGTCGGACCTGAGTCTGACCTGAGTTGGACCTGAGTCTGACCTGAGTTAGACCTGAGTTGGACCTGAGTCTGACCTGAGTTAGACCTGAGTCTGACTTGAGTTGGACCTGAGTCTGACCTGAGTTAGACCTGAGTCGGACCTGAGTAGGACCTGAGTCTGACCTGAGTCTGACCTGAGTCGGACCTGAGTAGGACCTGAGTCTGACCTGAGTTAGACCTGAGTTAGACCTGAGTCGGACCTGAGTGGGTTCACCTGTCTTGGGGATGACAGGTGCGGCCCTGCTGCTCGTGCCCTGTACAAAGACGCTGCTGACTCCGAGCGCCCGTCGGGTGACGCGGGTGCCCGTGCACGTGCCCGTGCACGTGGACACGGGGCGCTCCGCCAGGAGAGACGCTCTGCGGCGCGGGACGGGCATGATCCGAGTCCGGGTCCGGGTCCGAGTCCGAGTCCGGGTCCAAAAGCCCGTGGAGCCGCACGAGGACGATTTATAAAAGCCCAGAGCCTCTTCTGGAAACAACACAACAAAAGACTCACACAAACACATGAGTCAGCACAATCACACACACTATACACACACACACACTATACACACACACACACTATACACACACACACACACACACTATACACACACACACACACTATACACACACTATACACACACTATACACACACACTATACACACTATACACACACTATACACACACTATACACACACACACACTATACACACTATACACACTATACACACACACACTATACACACACACACACTATACACACACTATACACACACTATACACACACACACACACTATACACACACACACTATACACACACACTATACACACTATACACACACTATACACACACACTACACACACATGAGTCATTCATGTGATGGTTTGTTCTCGTGTCCTGGAGCTGTTAGCAGGTCTAAACCAGGTCTAAACCAGGACTAAACCAGGACTAAACCAGGTCTAAACCAGGTCTAAACCAGGACTAAACCAGGTCTAAACCAGGTCTAAACCAGGACTAAACCAGGACTAAACCAGGACTAAACCAGGTCTAAACCAGGTCTAAACCAGGACTAAACCAGGACTAAACCAAGACTAAACCAGGACTAAACCAGGACTAAACCAGGTCTAAACCAGGTCTAAACCAGGACTAAACCAGGACTAAACCAGGACTAAACCAGGACTAAACCAGGACTAAACCAGGTCTAAACCAGGACTAAACCAGGTCTAAACCAGGACTAAACCAGGTCTAAACCAGGTCTAAACCAGGACTAAACCAGGACTAAACCAGTCTAAACCAGGTCTAAACCAGGACTAAACCAGGTCTAAACCAGGACTAAACCAGGTCTAAACCAGGACTAAACCAGGTCTAAACCAGGTCTAAACCAGGACTAAACCAGGACTAAACCAGGACTAAACCAGGACTAAACCAGGTCTAAACCAGGACTAAACCAGGTCTAAACCAGGTCTAAACCAGGACTATTATTAGGAGTCGGAACAGCAGGTGGTTTCTGTGGTCTGGGGGCGTGGCTCTGGACGTGGAGGATGTTGAAGCATGTGACCTGCTTCCAAGCAGAAGGACTGAGGACAAACCAACAGAGACTTTAAGGTTTGTCAACAGAAACAGAAGATCTCACTGCTGAAACCAGGACGACAGTTGAGAGACACAGAGGTCCACATGAACGACCATGTGACACGGAGGAGTGCAGAGATCAGCAGGACGACCAGGCAACTCAAGAAGCAAAGGTGCTGCTGGTCAAGGCCCTGAGTGATGTGGATCAGTTCAACGGAACCAAGTGGGATCTCAGGTAACTTCTGGGTCTCACGAGGTGTGAGAACTGAGCGGCTTTCACAACACTAACTGTCATTAATCACTACTGTTTAAACTTAACAATGAGTTGTCATTCAGCTCTACAGCAAAGACTCAATAGTTTGGATCAATCAGAACTGGACTTATTTGGCTACACAGAAAACAGTGACCTGGACATGGAAAATGAAACAGACCCTGATAACTGTTTTTTCTCATCTATAAATGTAGATGTAAATATTACACTGTGCAAGACTTTGAGCACTTTATTAAATCAGACGACAAATGATCAATTATCCACTTCAATAGAAGAAGTATGTATAATGTAAACAGTGTTGGAGTAACGTGTTATAAAAGTAACGAATTACAGTAATGCATTACTTTTTGCTGTAACGCAGTAATGTGGCATTAAAGGGGAAAAATAGTCATATTTGACTCGGTACAAATGTGAGTAACGTGTGTTACACTGTTTTTTAACCTGGATTGAAATGGTGGGTTTTTCTTCATTCAAATTCGCTAAAATCACCTCGATATCAGCAGCGGTGAAACACCGGAGACGCCCCTCGTAGACCGTCAGGTGACCGCGGGCGAAAGGACTGACAAAGAACTCCACGCTGTTTAGACCTGGTTTAGACCTGGTTTAGACCTGGTTTAGACCTGGGTCAGTTCTGGTTTAGACCTGGTTTAGACCTGGGTCAGTTCTGGTTTCTGGTTTAGACCTGGTTTAGACCTGGTTTACACTCGTCCCTCCCTCTATCGCAGTTCACTTTTCACTGTCTCGCAGATTTTTATTTTATTTTATTTTTTTGTGCAATTTTGCAGCCCTGTTTTTTTTACAGTGTATGAACATGTGTTGTGTTCCTCCTGCTGCGTCCTGATTGGCTGAGGGACTCCTGTCTCCTGTACAGTACAGAATGTGTTCAGCTGCCAAATTTAAATACATGTTCAGTCTGTATCAGTGTGAATCTGAAGTGTTGTATGTTTGTACGTTTTCTCTCCGACAAAACCCACGTCGACGAAACTTTCTGCACCGACAAAGTCTCCTGCCTCACACCAAAAGACAGAGGAAGATGAAACATCACACAAAAAGACTTCTGGACACGATGAAGGAAGGTAGAAGTTACACACTGTAACAGACTCTTGCACCAGGTCTTGTACCTGCAAATAGTTGATGAAATCAGGGCCGTGAGCCCGAGCAGCAGAGTGACAGACGCTCTTACCTCCGTGAGGAGAGGAGCAGAGCCGCTCCTTTCTCCTGCGTCACCTTCGAGCCCGTCCTGACAGTGAGTCCTGTTTTAGTCCTAGTTCAGTTCTGGTTTAGTCCTGGTTTAGACCTGGTTTAGACCGGGTTTAGTCCTGGTTCAGTCCATATACAGCACAAAAGTTATTTTGGTAAGAGTAACTTAAAGTAATGTAATAGTAATGTAATGCCTTACATTTTAAATGCAGTAATATTGTAATGTAATGAATTATTTTGAAATGACAGTAATAGGTAATAAATAACACATTACAGTTTCAAAGTAACTTGCCCAACAGTGAATGTAAATGTCTGGTTGAGTGTGATTTACATGAAGTGAACAGTGCTTCTAAGTGTGCAGCCTTAGTCGCGGCGCGACACGCAGGAGGTGTTGGGAAATGTTTATTTTAAAACAGTGATTTTGGTATGAAATGGTTCGGCGAGCGGTGTGCAAAGAATACGGAAACGGGCGTCTTCACGAGCTCTCCCCAGGGGACGAGCCTCACAAACACTGATGCTTATGAACTCAATTATATCAACAGAATGAACAGAGCAGGAGGGGAGTTGTTATATTTGTACATAAGGATCTGAAGTTTAAAGTAATTGATCATTTGTCAGTTGTAGTTGACGACATCTTAGAATGTATCAGCTGAAATCTGTAACTTAAAGACAAAAAACGTTCTAATCAGCTGTATATATCGATCTCCTGGAACAAATGTTGAAGTATTTAATGACTGGATAGAAAAATTGTTCTCGATGAGCAATAACAAAACAATTTCCATATGTGGAGATTACAATATTGATCTGTTAAATCCTGCTAAACATAAAATGACAGACGATTTTCTTAATAGAATTTACAGCCTGAGCTTATACCAACTATTACAAGACCCAGAAGAACTACAAATCACAGTGCTACTCTTATTGATAATATTTTTACTAACAATGTGGATAATAATATTAGTGGTTTAATGATCTGTGATATAACAGATCACTTACCAGTATTCCTATGTTGTGGTGAAAGAGTTCAAAAGAATTGTAATGTTGATCATTATGTATAAGATTATTATTATTATTAGATCACTGAATGAAGACCTTAATGATCAGGACTGGAGTTCAGTGTACTTGGAGAACAACGTTGATAGAGCATATAATCATTTTTTAGATATATTTCTGACACTATACAATAAACACTGTCCTGTTCAACAATGTAGAACCAAAAAAAGAAAATTAAATTGTCCTTGGTTAACAAAGGGGTTACAGAACGCTTGTAAAAAGAAAAATGATCTTTATAAACAATTCATAAAATTGAAAACAAAGGATTCAGAAAGAAGGTACAAATGATATAAGAATAAGTTGACAGATATTATAAGGAACAGTAGAAAATTATATTATAATAAATTGCTTGAAAATAATAAAAATAATATTTAAAAAATGTGGGGTATATTGAACGGCATAATTAAAGAAGGATCTAAAAAGCACTCATACCCTGATTATTTTGTGGATGAGAATGGTGTGATAGACGACATGTCCAGCATTGTTAACAACTTCAATGATTTCTTTGTAAAAATAGGTCCTGAACTAGCAGAAAAAATTCCAGAAATAAGCACCACAATACAAGACAAAACATTTATCGAAAGATCTCCAAATACAATTTTTATTTCTCCTGCAACCGAACTTGAAATTATAACCATTGTGAATGAATTTCAAAATAAATTGTCAACAGATTTTGATGATATTGATATGACTATAGTTAAATATGTTATTAATAACATTGTTAAACCCCTTACATATATTTTTAATCTATCATTTCTAAAGGGATCATTCCCAGACAAGATGAAAATTGCCAAAGTAATTCCACTCTACACAAATGGAGATAGACATGGATTTACTAATTATAGACCGGTGTCTTTACTTTCTCAATTTTCAAAAATTCTTGAAAAATGATACAATAATAGATTGGAATCATTTTTAGATAAA